TTTTAATTAAATCATTATATCATCCTTGAATATTCATCATTCTTGAATAAAAATAAAGTTTTAAATAAATAAATAATTTTAAGAAATATTGATTTAAAATAATGCTCCTTTATACTTAAAATAATTTATAATTAAAATGCTAATTTTTAAATGATAAATATTTAGTAATTTATCGAATATTTAAATATATATTTTGCATATTTTAATTTACCATTTTCTTATTAATTTTTTAAATAATTATTTTTATTTAATTATGTAAAAAATTTATTTCTCATCTCCCTAAATTTTATTACATTCATTATAGAAAAATTTATAAATTAATTTAAATATTTAAACGATAAAAAATTATTTTAAATTATTTTCGTAAGAAATCCATAAAAAATAAATCTACATGATATTATAAGAAAGTAAAATAATCATAATAATTTTTTTATAGGTATAAAGGAAACATTAATAAAAAGTTATTAAATATATTTTTTATGAATGAATCATACAACTGGGATTTTATTTGTTATTTTTTTTTGGTATTTTATAATGCAGGGCAACTATAACCGAATTGTCGTTTATCCAGTTTGAAAGGAACTAATATAAAAAGAAGTTACAAATTCAGTGAACAACACGTGTGCTGCATGTATTAAAGTAGTGCAACAGTACTAAGATGGAATAATAGGCTATCTTTTTCCTCTTGTGAAAGTCGACTATGGATTACAGAAGCAGTAAAATATTTTCTTTTCCTTTATTTTTCAACTGGGAACGTATCTTCAATTTATTCTTTCTCCTTTCATTCTATTGAGTACTCCTACACAGTATCAATACTTGAAAGTTTTTTCTTTTTTTTTTTTGAAGTGGTCACAAGGGTATTTTATTGGTCCATGTCTTAATGTTCTATAGAAATGTATAACGATTTAATTCTTTTATTTTATTTATAAACTTTAATTTATATATATATATAAAGTATTTTACTTTTATATAGATAACTGTACTAATTACGGAATAACGTTATCTTTCTAATGAGATTTATTAGTATGGAAGTACATTTTTCGAGTTTAGATGTACAGACAGACAGACGTATTAATTGGGTATAAATCCTAACTTTTATGAAGTTTGTTACTATAAGAAAATTAAAATACAACAAAACTAATTGTTTTCCAATTTTTTCATTGTATTATAGTGATTTTAGTATTGTCACTTTTCGAGTGTAATGTTACTATAACGACAAAAATATCGATATACCCTGCCTGTAGGTATTTAGAGACATTTAAAGACTTAATTTCTACGAATCTTTAAATGAAAACCGCTGACAAAATTATAAAAATAAAGGTTAAAAAAATATATAATTTATTAATTTAAAAAGACGGTAACGTTATTTCTGAACTTTCTCGGAATTCTTTATTTATTTTCATTCCTAATAATTGCTACCATTACTTTTTTAGTCTTCAGATTAGTTCAGGGGATTTTAAAGGGGTGGGGCTATATCTTTCGAACCAATGGTCCGATTTTCTCGAATATTTCTAAAAACAGTTCTCCCTAACGCGCAAACCTCCCTGTAAAATTTCAAAAAATTTCCATTTAAGATACAGGAGTTATTAAGCTTCAAATTGGGTGCCACCCACAGTAACATGTAGAAAAAACCCCCAACTTTGTTGCATTTCTCCACGTTTCGAGGTCCCACTAGTCCAAAAATGTAAAAATCTTGGTGGGTCTTTTATTTGACTAATCGCCTCTGTTATATAAAACAATCGGAAAAGTAAAAACAGAAAAAAAAAACCATTATCGAAAGTGAACCCATCAGATAGTTAAATAGAAATATACTAAATTAGAAAGTAAAGCACATGGAAGACATAATACCAATCACATGATCGATAAATATCCTTAACGTATTTATTCAGTTGCAAAATTAGATTTTTACATCATTAAAGTACAGAATCGATTCCATTCATTACATACAGTAGAATTTTTTTCTTCCCTTCCTTAATATAATCACATGACTTTGTTACTGTAACAGTGGGACGAGCAATAGCATATTACGACTGCTAAACATTTACAAGTTTTAGATGATTAACTCAATTTGATAAAGTGCTACCACATTATCATTTCCTGTACGTTCCGATTCTTGCAATGGCAATGGTACTAATTGTTTCTCTGATATCGATTTATTCTAAATGAGCATTTTCTTGTTCTGTTACTATATTAATAAACAAATGCTATGTTTTCTTTACAAATTCATCCATTTTTTTAAAAACTATTACATTAATGTGTTGTACTTCTGTTACGTTGTGGTCTCGTGTCTCCAACTACACCCTTATTATTAGGAAAACACTTTTTATAATTATATATACAATAAAAAACGGAATCGTATGTGCACCTGGTCTCAAAATTCTGTTATTGCACCCGACCTGGAGGCAATCTGTTCGTGTGGTTGATCAAAGAAGCACCTGATCATACTGGGGATAAACTTACAGCAACTTTATCCCGAGAACGTGTTATTGCACGTGGACTTCAATGGGTGTTACATGGTACAAAATGGTTCCCTTCTTAAGTGGTTCAGATTGAAAAACAATTTAATCTTTCTTCCTCTTCTCGAGCCCAGATGAAAAGAGGTATTGTTTTTATATTTGAATTACAGTATATAGGTTAATTGTACCTACCGGAAATCAATTTATATACGGTGAAGACATAATATATGAATGCCCGACAATGATTTAGATTAAAGAAGACTAATGAATCTTTTGCCACATTTGATCTGAAGTGAATCAATTATTGCATCTAACCCCAGGACAACTGACTTGGCCAGAAAACAATTCACTAACGCACCACTGCACACAGCAATGGATAAGAAAAGTCTGTTACAATAAGAAGAAGAAAAAGAAAAAAAATCTTTTCAAAACAAATGGAGGAAAAAAATAATAATAAATACGTACAGTTGTATTACAGAACCCTACTTTTTATTAAAACTGTAAGTCTTCTTTAATAACTGATCTCGAGTACTGTACATCTTCTATTCTACTCACCCCCCCAGGATAACCCATTATCGCACCTGACGATAGACAGGGACAATTTGTTACAATAACTAAATGGATCTCCTCAGGAGAAGTAGAGGGGGGAGACACCAGATTTGAAGATATTTCCTCTCACGAATAATGGAGGCGAATCGTTAAGTTCGTGTGATTTGCTACCTATCGGCAAATATAGTGGAAAAAAAAAGAAAATTGACCGTTACGTGACACAGATATTCGGCACGGTCACGTGATTTCAATAACCCCCAACCGAGGTCGCGTTAACAAGCCGTACGCTTAACGTGATTTTGTTAAAATCAGCTTCACTTGCCACTTTCGATTATGATATCACGTGATTCCGGTAAGCCAACCAATAATTCCGAACCTAACAAATCACGCAAAGGGGGGAGGTCGAGTTTAAATACGTCACTGAGAGGGGGGAAAAGTACATTGACGTCGCTAAGCAGAAAATTATTCTTACCGAGTTTACAATAACTCTATTATATATAATTCTCGATTAATCCTTTAAATGCTGTATAAATTCTTTTGAAAAATGTTTTATTAACGTTTTCGAGATAAAGTAATAAAAGAAGATTTTACACAATAATCCTCTCCTCTCCTAGAAAATAATGACGTAATAACTGTAAAAGTTTTGTTAAGTTGGTAGTATTTAAGAGAGAGGAGAAACATTATTATTCTCCTCGTTTGGTTTAATCAATATTTTACTTTGTGAATCCAATTATTGGATACATTTATTATTATAATAGTTTATCCCTGTTGTCTCTAACGGCTCTTTAAAAAATCATTAAGAGCGATAAGTTACCAGGAGCTAAACGAAAATCACGTGATTCTCCAGACACTTTCTTAAACTTTTGTATTAATTGCCGCACGCGAGCATCCCGCAATCACGTGCCTCTAACTAACATATTTTTACATTTGCTCCAAGAAAAAAACGTCCCAGTCACGTGACGCTATTGTTTAAATTTATTTAATAAAAAAAACAAATCAAATCACGTGCTAAAAAAGTTAAAAATTAAATTAAAAGTTTGTGATGATGACTGTTTTTTTTTTTTTAAGAAAAGACATTTTTTTACTGTAATTTTTTTATTTTTGTTTAACAGGAAATTAAACTGTAACAGGATCCACAGGATAATTTTATTTTTGTTTTATTTTTGTTTTTTTTTAAGTCTATCCTACCCAACAGTAACGTACAAAAGAATGAAGGGAAAAAAATGGCAGCAATATCACGTAATTCACAAGAGGAGTCAATTTGTTTCAGTTTCGATCGCGTGATTCACCCAACAAAATAACGATTCTACTTCAGCGGTTTTCAATCGAATGACAAACCTTCGATCACATGATTGCAGATTCTGCTACAAGAAATGTTATTTTCATTTCATCAAAACCATAGGATAAAAAAAGGGGAAAAGAGAGAGAGAGAGAGAAAGAAAAAAAAATCAGTCGGAATCAAGTAAATCACGCGTAATCACCACCCAATTTTTTATTCATTAAATACATTTAAATTAAAACAACACAGAAGTAACTAAATAAATAAACTTTAATGATTCTTACCACGAAATAATAAATGAATAAAAACATAATTTACAAAACACCATCCCATTTTTTATTAAGTTTATTATTAAATATTTGTTTTATTTTGTCGTAATCGCAGTAAAATTCGATAATGTTTGACTGATTTTTACTGTAAAATTTTTTCTTGTTTGTTTTTTTTTTAAATAAAGCAAATTAAGGAAGACAATTTAACAGCGAAGTATCAGCAATACTTGACTTATTTTTATAACTTTATAATTAAAAATATATTTTTAAAAAATCATTAAAAAACATGGAAGTTATAAAACACAACTCCATATTAAGACACTTATTTATTTTAAAATCAACAGTAAAATATTACTGAATTTAACTAATTTATAACAATAATAAACACCTATAAAATCATCCAAAAGAAAAAAAAAAGTTAAATTCGAATCACGTAAATCACTCTTATAATCACTAAATATTTGTTTTGTTTTACATTAATCACAATTAAAATCGATAAAGTATTGTTGATTTCTACTGTAAAATCGCCGTTTTTTTAAATATAATAATACCAAAAAACAAAAAAAAATCACTAAAACACCAATTATAAAACACAACCCCACATTTAAAATAAATTTTAAAAAAAATTCCAGTAAAATATGAACGATTTTAACTAATTTATAACAATAATAAACACTGAAAACATGAGTAAAAAGTAATAATAAAATATTAAATTCGAATCACGTGAATGACGCATTCTTCTACGCTCCTTTCCGTTCTAAGTCAGATTTATAGGATTTAATCAATGATCCGTCAACAAAGAGGAAGACATTCGTTCGGGCACAGTTGAGAAAACAAATATTTAAGAACATCAAAATCTGTTCCTTCCCCAAGTAATCAGATTTAAGGATGAATAGGAGAAGACGATGTTATCGCGGCAACATTTATTATCGTATAAGTATCGCAACTGACTGATACTCCCTACTAAATCTTACTTCGACATCCCTAACGTACATAAAAGACTTTACTTTTATCTACAAGAGATAATCGAAACGTGATAAAAATCACCAGAAACTAATTATCATACACTACATAAAAGTATACATTATCATAAATACTTGTGTAGCATCTGATATACTTCCCCCCATTTTTTTTTCTTTCACGTCACACTTAATGGTTTTAACGTGAATATAAAGTTAAATTCCCGGTAAAACATTTTAAAATTTTAATTAATTTTTTTTTTTTAATTCACTTTAATTTATTTGTCTTTTATTTTCTTTATGATTTTTTTTTTTTAAAGAAAACGGCGGTTTTACGCGCTTGAAATTTACTTATTTATATTTATAATTAAAATATTTTAAAATTAAATAAAGTAAATTAATTTTTAACATAGAATTAAACGACTTTTACGCAACGAAAATTCATTATTATTTGCGTAAAATCTGGATAAATGCCAATAATATATTCATAAACAACTGACGAAAATCGGAAATTTTCTCGTATTTATTTATTTATTTTTTTTTTCGTCAGTTAAATAATTATAAAATTAAAAAAGTGGCATACTTAATTACTATTATAATTTGAATAAAAATTAATTATAATTATAAATTTATTATCGTACAAAAGAAAAATAAAATTTAACTTAATTTCAAAAAATATAAATTATCAGGAATTAAATTTTTTTTCCCGGTAAATCTACTTTATATACCATTACTTTCAACACTAATTTTCACGCGACTCTACCCTTATTTTTTTTATTATTTTTCCTGGCAATTTTTTTTTATGAACGCCGCGAACTCTTTAACGTCACAGTTATTTATTTTAACACTACTTACAAGCGCAACCCCAACTTATTATCAGAATCTCGAAACCACTCGACGAAGTATCCCGTACGAACATCACGCCCTCCAAGTGAGCAAACGCGAAAATAAAAATACCAAAAAAAAAAAATAAGAAGAAAAAACACACAGAAGAGGTGGGGAAACACAACAACACACAATGAAAGAAAAAAAATGCGCGTAAACGAATTAACCAATCCATTAATGATAAACCTTACCTGACCATGATGTGATAATCTACCTTCCGGTGTTTGTTCCGGTAGGAAGTACAATCGCATACTCGATAGCACTTGATCCCGGTGACGGTCCTCCCATAACAAATGAAGTTCACCAATACACGGATCCTCATTGGGCGATATCCTGACAAAGAAAAACTCTCCTAGAGTCAAAATCCTGCTTTTTCCTAACTTCTGGTACTTGAACGCCTTATAGAATGTATAAGGGCCGTGTTGACCACAAGCAGATCCTACAAACTGCGGAAATGTCATGGACATATCAATTCACACACCACTACAACCAGAGCCTGCCTCACCACAGGAGAGCACACATGCTACTACCGCATGACAGGTCGAAGCAGGCGTACATCTGCAAGGTCGACTACCCCCATCTCCCCTTCCTTATATATATATATATATATATATAAAACTGTATTAGTAATTAGACACAAATTACAGTAAAAAATATTGTTATTGAAGCTACCAGGCATGGTTAAAAATTAAGACAGCATAAGCACAATTATTCCCAATATTACAGGTTCTGACAAGTAAAGAATTTTCAGAGTCTTGCCACATTTTCTGTTCCTCTTCAAGCAAAATACAGAATATTTTCAGATATAAGGATTGATGAAGTGAATTAAAACAGAAAATAATAAGCAGGTGTATATGATATCACATTTAAGAGAGGGTAGAAGTTATATGTTGGAGCTATAAGTTTATCTGTAATCACTAGAATATAAGAACATAAAAGGATATTAAGGAACAGCAGAAAAATTATATTGCACTTACTTGTTAGTTGAGAAGAATGGAGAAAAGAAGTAAAGATACAATGGAAATTAGAGAGGAAGTATTGATTGTCAAAAAGAATAAATATATGAAAGTCTGAAAAATAATGGCCTATACCAGGGGTCGGCAACCTGCGGCTCTTTGGATGTGAAGCTGCGGCTCTTTAGTTCCATATGCAAATATTATTTATTTTATCAAAAAAAAAGTTTAAAAATCGTTCTGAATCGATTAACGAGGATTAGGCACCGATTCTATCTCTCAGCCACTTGTACTCGCTTTTCACTGCCCCCCTCCCCCGTGACACGCGTCGTCACTGTCGTCAGTCCGT